CCCCCCCCCTCACTGTGCTAAAGGTTGAGCCCCCCGACTCATGAAAAGTGCGTCGGCTTAGATTCTTCTCGAGTAATTCGACTATTCGCTATTCGTTTTTAGTCGCCCTAAAAACATGTTTGCTGACGACTCTGCAGGAAAGTGGGGGTTCGTTGTTTTGTAGCGCTTCAGAGATATTCTTCACATTTTTACTTTACTCCTGCAGTGAAAGAAAACGCCTAAAAACATCGCAGGTTGTTGAAAAGCTGCTGTGTAATCAGGCATTTTAGGCCACAAGTTCATCTCCTCCTCATTATTCAGTATCGTATCGGTATCGGTCATGAGAAGCAGTTAACATAAACAAAACAGGATAACACTAGAAGAGTTAGTAACCTCTATTATCACGTAAGGTTGGGATGAATATATCGCAGGTTATTTGGTCATTTTAGTTTTCTAAACTCTGCGGTGAATTAAAGCTTTTATTTCGGCTAGTTTGACGACAGGAAGTACATCAACGAGCTGATTCACAGAGGCTCCAACCAGGACTCTGACTCCGGGGAAAACTGTAACAGAACCTTATTGTCACGTACAAAAGACAGAAAACTATAAAGAGAATGAAATTGTAAAATATATAAAACATTAATATGTTAAGAGTATAAAAAAACTGCATTGAATGATCCTCTGACGCCACGCGGCTTTATGTTGTTCAGGCTGATTAGAAAACCATAAGATCTGAGTCACGAGCGAGTGGGTAAGATCAGCTGTGAGCTGCGGCCGCGAACAGAGCGACGTGTGATTCACCTCGATGTCAGACTGGAGGGGACGCTTTTACATCTCCCGTCACGAGAGGAAAGGGATGCACAAAAGAGCGGTTGTTGTGGTCGGTGGAGGAGTGAAGTCACTTTGGAAGTGACAAATGGCGAGTTGATTTCGTAAGGGATAAAACCCGACGTGGTGTCTGTTATCAGGAATTAATGGACGGCGTGGAGGCCAGAACCACTCTCAGCGGACGATGAGGCACTGAAGTGTTGTAAGATATATTTAGGTAGCATTCAGATTTCAGCTCATTTATTTAGAGCTTTACTGGAACTACTTACTACGCGTCATACAACAGGAATTAATAGACGCACAGCAGCCAATCAGAATCGAGTATTCACCTAGATTACAGTATAAATATATTTAACCTTTAAGGGGCAGATATGACTGATAGTTTACTCTTTAAAGAAGCCATGCGTCAGCAGCAACCAGCCTCAGTACCTTCAGCAGCGATGTTATAGATGGTAACGCAGGATACTGATTATCTTTAACACGATCATTAACACCCACACACCCTCGGCCCCTCCGACATGAGTAACTGTTGATGTCTTTGTTTCCTGTGGTTTTATCAGGAGTGTCGGTTAAAAGAGGAAACCAGCAAGGAAGTCAGACTGGTTACTAACTTCTCTTTATCACATGAACACATTAAACATATGAATAAGAGTTTTACTCCGAGTTTGATTTCACATTTTGTTTTATTTGTTATACAGTAGAAGAAGATATCGCTTCGAAATAGGTTGAAAAATGTGAACTTATTTTTGTGAACTTATAAAGGATCCTGTGGTACGTTGACGGGTTCCCTTTTTGTAGCTGACAAACTTCAGACGAACACAGTCTTACAGCTGGTATCAGTATTAGCTCGACCGCTAACTTAGTGTTTAGCCAAATGCTGGGAAAATATGTAGAACACGATTTCTGTCACTGATACCAAATCAATAAGGCCCAAGCAGCAAGGAATTATTTTTATGCCAAAAGAATCAAATTTGCTCAAAAACTTTGATTTTAACAAACACAACTGGATTTAGGGTCTGAATTTTGTGGAGAAAGAATGCAAGAACCAATTTAATGTGCAGAAAAGAAATACATCTAGTAGTGTAACTAATAACTGGACGAAGTAATAAGCTTATCAATCCCTTTTATTAATGCAATCATTGCAATGGCGTCAAACTCGTGCGTCTACGCTGCTGCAACCTTCCAACATAAGGAAGTCGCAGCAGAGACGAAGGAACGGTCCAAAGTGAGGCTTCATTTCACGAAGAAACTCAAAGTGCTTTAACTGAACTACGCTCTGTTTCTCTGTTTGGAGAAGGTTTTTATAAAATAGATGAATTAAAATGATTTTGTGTACTTACAAAACTTAAAGTAATAACATAAAGGAAATGTCTTTTTGGTCCAAACATCTCTTAATAGTTCCAAAAAAAACTACAATCTTTAACATCAACTAAAAAACTTTAAACAATAAAAAAATGACTTGAAAATAAAAATGAAATAAGAATAAACCTAATAACTGGTTTGGACTCAGAGATAATAAAACAGTTGATGCTTCCTCCAATAAGGGAACTGTTAAAGAATCAATAATGACACTTGTATCAGTAAAATCCTATTAATTCCCGTCCTCACTCCCTCTGAAGACAGAGAGGGGTCGGACGGTGACGTGTCTCCGTTGACCTACAAACTGAAGTGTAACGAGTCTTTTGAACGAACCCTAAAATAAAACCACCGGTTGTGTAACTCGCAGGTTTACGATGACGTTGTCTCCTCTTCGGCCCTTTTGACATCACAATTGTGAATGAATGCTCCGCTTGTTGTTGTTATTTTCACGGCACAAAGGAGTATAACATCGGTTCCAGTGCGCTGCGAAGTGAGTCACCCCGTCACGGACGCAAACGTCCCTGTTTTACACCTAACAACCCCGCTCAGTGTGCTGCGGTGAATGCACACATTGTCTGCTGCCGCTGCTGCCGGTACAAAGACAGTGTGGGTGTATTGTAGTGATGAAGGCTGTTGTGTTGAAGCCTCTGTGTTTGTATGAAGAGGCTTTTTTTTTAAAATGTTGAAGCGAGTGATAATGAGTAATAATTCTGCATTAAACAGTTTATAAACTCTAGAGCTTTGTTCTATATGTAGTTGAGTTCTTACATTATCCCAAATGTTTCCAACAATGTTCAAACTCAGAGAAATCTGTCATTTTATTCAGGTAACGCTGCGTTTCACCTGTCG